TAAGGCATGTAGTTTAAGCTAACATTAGCATGCAGCTGTAAAATAAGGCATGTAGTTTAAAAGAAGGTATGTAGTTTAAAATGAGGCATGTAGTTTAAGCTAACATTAGCATGCAGCTATGAAATAAGGCATGTAGTTTAAAATAAGGTATGTAGTTTAAAATGAGGCATGTAGTTTAAGCTAACATTAGCATGCAGCTATGAAATAAGGCATGTAGTTTAAAATAAGGCATGTACTTTAAGCTAACATTAGCATGCAGATATAAAATAAGGCATGTAGTTTAAAATAAGGTATGTAGTTTAAAATGAGGCATGTAGTTTAAGCTAACTTTAGCATGCAGCTATAAAATAAGGCATGTATTTTAAACTAACATTAGCATGCAGCTATAAAATAAGGCATGTAGTTTAAGCTAACTTCAGCATGCAGCTATAAAATAAGGCATGTTGTTTAAGCTAACATTAGCATGCAGCTATAAAATAAGGCATGTAGTTTAAAATAAGGCATGTACTTTAAGCTAACATTAGCATGCAGATATAAAATAAGGCATGTAGTTTAAAATAAGGTATGTAGTTTAACATGAGGCATGTAGTTTAAGCTAACATTAGCATGCAGCTATAAAATAAGGTATGTAGTTTAAAATACGGCATGTAGTTTAAAATGAGGCATGTAGTTTAAGCTAAAATTATCATGCAGCTGTAAAATAAGGCATGTAGTTTAATAGAAGGCATGTACTTTAAGCTAACATTAGCATGCAGATATAAAATAAGGCATGTAGTTTAAAATAAGGTATGTAGTTTAAAATGAGGCATGTAGTTTAAGCTAACTTTAGCATGCAGCTATAAAATAAGGCATGTATTTAAACTAACATTAGCATGCAGCTATAAAATAAGGCATGTAGTTTAAGCTAACTTCAGCATGCAGCTATAAATAAGGCATGTTGTTTAAGCTAACATTAGCATGCAGCTATAAAATAAGGCATGTAGTTTAAAATAAGGCATGTAGATTAAAATAAGGCATGTACTTTAAGCTAACATTAGCATGCAGCTATAAAATAAGGTATGTAGTTTAAAATAAGGCATGTAGATTAAAATAAGGCATGTAGTTTAAGCTAACATTAGCATGCAGCTATAAAATAAGGTATGTAGTTTAAAATAAGGCATGTAGTTTAAGCTAAGGTATGTAGTTTAAAATAAGGCATGTAGTTTAAAATAAGGCATGTAGTTTAAAATAAGGCATGTACTTTAAGCTAACATTAGCATGCAGATATAAAATAAGGCATGTAGTTTAAAATAAGGTATGTAGTTTAAAATGAGGCATGTAGTTTAAGCTAAAATTATCATGCAGCTATAAAATAAGGCATGTTGTTTAAGCTAACTTTACCATGCAGATATAAAATAAGGCGAGTTGTTTAAGCTAACGTTACCATGCAGCCATAAAATAAGGCATATAGTTTAAGCTAACATTAGCATGCAGCTGTAAAATAAGGCATGTAGTTTAATAGAAGGCATGTACTTTAAGCTAACATTAGCATGCAGATATAAAATAAGGCATGTAGTTTAAAAGAAGGTATGTAGTTTAAAATGAGGCATGTAGTTTAAGCTAACATTAGCATGCAGCTATAAAATAAAACGAGTTGTTTAAGCTAACGTTACCATGCAGCTATAAAATAAGGCATGTAGTTTAATCTAACTTTAGCATGCAGCCATAAAATAAGGCATGTAGTTTAAGCTAACTTTAGCATGTAGCTATAAAATAAGGCATGTAGTTTAAGCTAACTTTAGCATGCAGCTATAAAATAAGGCATGTAGTTTAAAAGAAGGCATGTAGTTTAAGCTAACTTTAGCATGTAGCTATAAAATAAGGCGAGTTGTCTAAGCTAACTTTAGCATGCAGCCATAAAATAAGGCATGTACTTTAAGCTAACATTAGCATGAAGATATAAAATAAGGCATGTAGTTTAAAATAAGGTATGTAGTTTAAGCTAACGTTAGCATGAAGCTATAAAATAAGGCATGTTGTTTAAGCTAACATTAGCATGCAGCTATAAAATAAGGCATGCCATTTAAGCTAACGTTAGCATGCAGCTATAAAATAAGGTATGTAGTTCAAGCTAACTTTACCATGCAGCCATAAAATAAGGCATGTAGTTTAAGCTAACTTTAGCATGCAGCTATAAAATAAGGCATGTCATTTAAGGCATGTAGTTTAAAATAAGGTATGTAGTTTAAAATGAGGCATGTAGTTTAAGCTAACTTTAGCATGCAGCTATAAAATAAGGCATGTAGTTTAAAATAAGGCATGTACTTTAAGCTAACATTAGCATGAAGATATAAAATAATGTATGTAGTTTAAAATCAGGCATGTAGTTTAAAATAAGTCATGTAGTTTAAGCTAACATTAGCATGCAGGTATAAAATAAGGCATGTAGTTTAAAATAAGGTATGTAGTTTAAAATAAGGCATGTAGTTTAAGCTAACATTAGCATGCAGCTATAAAATAAGGCATGTAGTTTAAAATAAGGTATGTAGTTTAAAATAAGGCATGTAGTTTAAGCTAACATTAGCATGCAGCTATAAAATAAGGCATGTAGTTTAAAATAAGGCATGTAGTTTAAGCTAACATTAGCATGCAGCTATAAAATAAGGCATGTAGTTTAAAATAAGGTATGTAGTTTAAGCTAATGTTAGCATGAAGCTATAAAATAAGGCAGGTAGTTTAAGCTAACTTTAGCATGTAGCTATTAAATAAGGCGAGTTGTTTAAGCTAACATTAGCATGCAGCTATAAAATAAGGCATGTAGTTTAAAATAAGGAATGTACTTTAAGCTAACATTAGCATCAAGATATAAAATAAGGCATGCCATTTAAGCTAACGTTAGCATGCAGCTATAAAATAAGGCATGTCGTTTAAGCTAACTTTAGCATGCAGCTATAAAATAAGGCATGTAGTTTAATTGTAAAGTTAGCATGCAGCCATAAAATAAGGCATGTAGTTTAAGCTAACTTTAGCATGCAGCTATAAAATAAGGCATGCAGTTTAAAATAAGGGATGTAGTTTAAGCTAACTTTAGCATGCAGCTCTAAAATAAGGCATGTAGTTTAAAATAAGGCATGTCGTGTAAGCTAACATTAGCACTTGGATTTTTAGAGCAGCTTGAATAATGTCCAAGGTCCAAGAGATGGCTGCAGTGGCAGCGTGAAACAAGCCACAATGTAACATTAATATGCCGCTGCACACCTTCAGTTTCCATCCATAACGTGCTTGTTTTGCCACTGACACGCTCAGATAATTATTCTTAGTGTCTGACAACATTATGGAAAGGATCCCAGCTGAGGTCAAGCTTTTGTTAAAGAGTAAGATCCGTTTTGTTTTAACATGAAACATCCCTGAAATCGCCAAACCCACCAGACTCTATTCAAATTAACTGTCATTTTATCGTCATAAATACACATTTAAAGTCGACAGGAACAAGATAAACCTTCACAAACCATCTTAGTTGTCTAAGAAAATAAGAAATGTACTGAAGTATAAAGGGTAGCTGTATTAGGAGTGCAAATTACAATGTGATGTCCAATCTCGCATTCATGAGGTATATATAACTTATAGCTCTAATAAAGGCCTATAATTGTTATATCAGCAATAATTAATCAATTAATAGTTTATTAGGCTTTAATTAACACATATTGTTGTCTATAAGCATCCTATAAAGGTCTTATAAGTGTCTTATTAACTGTTAATTACTGCCTATTACAAGCACCTTAAAATAAAGTGTTACCTACGTCTCATTTACAGAAAATAAAGCAAAAACTTTCACATCCTGTAGAATTTACTGGTAAGGTAGGAAGTGGAACAGAGAGAAGTGAAAATCCAGAGCTGCGAGGAGACGGAGAGATTGAGGGAGGAGCTAAGCTGTTAGTGAACTATAGAAGAGAGAGGAACTTCCATATTCAGCAGAGTTCAATACACAAAGCAGAAACATTCCCTTTATTCAACATGCTGTCATTGGACTATTATGTACTTTCTCTACTGTTACTATCCATTCTAACAGGTATGTGAGATCCTGCTGAGAAAGTTTCATTACTAACTTTTCTGGATGGGATTCATTTGTTGAGTCTTTTACAACATGAAATAACAGAGTTATCTCTTCCTTCAGGTGTCAGCTGTGAAGAACTGACTGCAGTCAGGAATGAAGAGTTCACTTTAGAAGGCAGCTCTGTTACTCTGTCCTACAAATACTCCAAAAAAGCAACTGGTCAAGATCGATTCTTCTGGTATCGACAATATCCAGGAAAACCACCAGAGTTTCTTATTTCACACTCAGGAACAGGACTACCAATATCAGATTCCGTCCCTAGACTATCTTTTAAAATGAGTGATGATAAAACCCAAATGGATCTGCAGATCTCCTCTGCTGCAGTGACAGACTCTGCTGTGTACTACTGTGCTGTGAGGCCCACAGTGACAGGAAACACCAAAACTCTGTACAAAAACCTGACAGCTCCTATGAAGATTTACTCACTTCAGCTCCTCCTTTTACTGAACAGCAGCGCCACCAAGTGGACACTGACAACACAATCTAATGATAAGTTACAATATTACTCCTGTTATTAATAAAACACAGTTAATCCAGATCATGGTGTTTAATTGAGGCTATTTCTGTACAGTAAGGCACTCCACAAGGAAGTCTTCTTCTACACAGAATGCTTTGGTATCACTGATGATGAGACAAACTAAAATGATTACAGACCCATGTTGATGAATTAACTATTCCAGGGTGAAAAGTGGTTAAAGAGACTTTGTTGTAACAGAAAGTTCACATGTTAAAGCTCCTCATTATGAGCTGCTCTGGATAAGAGCATCAGCTAAACAGCTGAGATGTAAATGAGATGTAAATGTTGAGAGTTCCTCAACAGATGATGAAGAGGAAGGGCCAATGATGTGAAGGCCCAGATCCATCAGAGTATCAATGTTCTTCCTCTCTCTCCTCCCCTCTCACTGCAGACATGAACCACTGGCTGAGAAACATCCTGATTCTGACTCTCTGGCTAGGTAACTCTTTAAACCTACTGATTGTTCTCCTTTAATCAATCATCTTTATTGATCCATCTCTTCCTCTGCATGTTCTCTTCTTCCCCAGAGTGTAAAGGAGAAGACAGAGTGACCCAGCCAGCAGGAGATGTCATTGCTGCTGAAGGAGACACAGTTACACTTGGCTGTACTTTTGAGACGAGTGACCAATACCCCTACTTGTACTGGTACAAACAAGAAGTAAATGAGTCTCCTAAGTACATGCTGAAAAGTTACTCAAAAACAACAGATTTTGATGCAGAGTTCACGAAAGACAGATTTAATGCTACAATCAAGGATAAGTCAGTTCCTCTGAAGATCCAGAAGCTTCAGCTGTCTGACTCTGCTGTGTACTACTGTGCTCTGCAGCCCACAGTGACAGGAACACCAAAACTCTGTACAAAAACCTTTGGAGCAAAGAAAACAGAATACTCCACAACGTCCACTAGAGGGAGTCACACACTGTTAAACTTCAGTGTGATGATGAAGTCTTAAATTACTTATATTCTACATGAATCAATGAAATATTTGTAATATCTTATAGGTATAAAACACTTAGCAGGAAGCCTTTCATTAGGAGGGGATGTCTCTGAATGATCTTCCTTGAGGGTTTTTCAATCATGATTTTTAAACCTATAGGCAAAGGGAACATACAGAGATAATATCTTTGTGTCACAGTAAGTTCAATTGGGCAAAGAGGAACACGAGGGAGTGGACCAGACCCAGAACCAGAGGCAGGTTCAGTTTTATGGTTTCAAAATAAAGAGTACACTGACTTACAGCAAGCTGAGGCAGGCCAAGGTCCACACAGGCAGACACATAGCAAACACATCCAAACGAAGCAGCAATAAACCAAATCTAAACGGTCTAATACATCAGGCCAAAAACCCAAAACACAGGAAACACTGGGAAATGGCTAGAAAGCTTGACATATAGACAAAGACAAGGCAGGCGCACAGACTAAACACACAAGTGAGGGGAGATTAAGTAGACACAGGTGAAACTAATTAGGACAGGGCAGCCAATCAAACGGGCGGAAAACACGAGGGCAGGAAATAAAGTAAGACAAGACACAGGAGATACAACATAAAATAGAAAATAACAACATCAAAATCCAAAACCATGACACCATGTCAATAATATGAGTCTTAAAACACATTATGATTGGTTTATGGAATAGACGATAACTGACTGATGAACTCAGCATCCGGCTGTGAGCTCTATTTTCTTTAAGTTAATCACAAGTGCTTTCACTTTGGCTGACTTAAAGAAAATCAGAAAGAAAGAAAAGCATAATTGCAGAGAATTAAGAACACCAGTAAATATAAATATTCTCGGTAACACTTTATTTGCAGCTATAAATAAGGTATGTAGTTTAAAATAAGGCATGTAGTTTAAGCTAACATTAGCATGCAGCTATAAATAAGGCATGTAGTTTAAAATAAGGCATGTAGATTAGCTAACATTAGCATGCAGCTATAAAATAAGGTATGTAGTTTAAATAAGCATGGTTTAAAATAAGGCATGTAGTTTAAAATAAGGCATGTAGTTTAAAATAAGGCATGTAGTTTAAAATAGGCATGTAGTTTAAAATAAGGCATGTAGTTTAAGCTAACTTTAGCATGCAGCTATAAAATAAGTCATGTTGTTTAAGCTAACATTAGCATGCAGCTATAAATAAGGCAGTAGTTTAAGCTAACTTAGCATGCAGCTATAAAATAAAACGTTGTTTAAGCTAACGTTACCATGCAGATATGAAATCGACGAGTTTTTTAAGCTAATGTTACCATGCACTATAAAATAAGGTATACTTTAATCTAACTTTAGCATGCAGCCATAAAATAAGGCATGTAGTTTAAGCAAACTTTAGCATACAGCTATAAAATAAGGCATGTAGTTTAAAATAAGGCATGTACTTTAAGCTAACATTAGCATGCAGATATAAAATAAGGCATGTAGTTTAAAATAAGGCATGTAGTTTAAAATGAGGCATGTAGTTTAAAATAAGGCATGTAGTGTAAGCTAACATTAGCATGCAGCTATAAAATAAGGTATGTAGTTTAAAATAAGGCATGTAGATTAAAATAAGGCGAGTTGTTTTAGCTAACTTTAGCATGCAGCTATAAAATAAGGCATGTAGTTTAAGCTAATGTTACATGCAGCTATTAAATAGGCGAGTTGTTTAAGCTAACTTTAGCATGCAGCTATAAAAAGGCATGTCGTTTAAGCTAAAATTAGCATGCAGCTATCAAAATAAGGCATGTTAGTTTAAAATAAGGCAGTAATAAATAAGGCATGTAGTTTAAGCTAACATTAGCATGCAGCTATAAAATAAGGCATGTAGTTTAAAATAAGGCAGTAGTTTAAAATAAGGTATGTACTTTAAGCTAACTTTAGCATGCAGCTATAAAATAAGGCATGTCGGTTAAGCTAACTTTAGCATGCAGCTATAAAATAAGGCATGTCGTTTAAGCTAATGTTAGCATGCGCTATTAAATAAGGCGAGTTGTTTAAGCTAACTTTAGCATGCAGCTATAAATTAAGGCGAGTTGTTTTAGCTAACTTTAGCATGCAGCTATAAAATAAGGCATGTAGTTTAAGCTAATGTTAGCATGCAGCTATTAATAGGCGAGTTGTTTAAGCTAACTTTAGCATGCAGCTATAAAATAAGCATGTCTTTAGCTAATGTTAGCATGCAGCTATTAAATAGGCATGTTGTTTAAGCTAACTTTAGCATGCAGATATAAATAAGGCATGTCGTTAAGCTAACTTTAGCATGCAGCTTAAAATAAGGCACGTTGTTTAAGCTAATGTTAGCATGCAGCTATTAATAAGGCGAGTTGTTTAAGCTAACTTTAGCATGGCTATAAATTAAGGCATGTAGTTTAAGCTAACTTTAGCATGCAGCTATAAATAAGGTATGTAGATTAAAATAAGCATGTAGTTTAAAATAAGGTATGTAGTTTAAATAGGCATGAGTTTAAGCTCAAAATTAGCATGCAGCTATAAAATAGGCATGTAGTTTAAATAAGGCATGTAGATTAAAATAAGGCATGTAGTTTAAAATAAGGCATGTAGTTTAAAATAAGGCATGTAGTTTTAAGCTAACATTAGCATGCAGCTATAAAATAAGGCATGTAGTTTAAATAAGGCATGTTCGTTTAAAATAAGGTATGTACTTTAAGCTAACTTTAGCATGCAGCTATAAAAAGGCATGTAGTTTAGCTAACTTTAGCATGCAGCTATAAAATAAGCATGTAGTTTAAGCTAACTTTAGCATGCAGCTCTAAAATAAGGCATGTAGTTTAAGCTAACTTTAGCATACAGCTATAAATAAGGCATGTAGTTTAAAATAAGGCATGTAGTTTAAGCTAACTTTAGCATGCAGCTATAAGATAAGGCATGTAGATTAAGCTAACTTTAGCATGCAGCTCTAAAATAAGGCATGTAGATTAAGCTACCTTTAGCATGCAGCTATAAGATAAGGCATGTAGATTAAGCTAACTTTAGCATGCAGCTCTAAAATAAGGCATGTAGTTTGAGCTAACTTCAGCATGCAGCTATAAGATAAGGCATGTAGATTAAGCTAACTTTAGCATGCAGCTATAGGATAAGGCATGTAGATTAAGCTACTGTTAGCATGCAGCTATAAAATAGGCATGTATTTAATAACTTTAGCATGCAGCTATAAAATAAGCATGTGTTTAAGCTAACTTTAGCATGCAGCTCTAAAATAAGGCATGTAGTTTTAAGCTAACTTTAGCATACAGCTATAAAATAAGGCATGTAGTTTAAAATAGGCATGTAGTTTAAGCTAACTTTGCATGCAGCTCTAAAATAAGGCATTTGTTTAAGCTAACTTTAGCATGCAGCTCTAAAATAAGGCATGTAGTTTAAGCTAACTTTAACATGCAGCTATAAAATAAGGCATGTAGTTTAAATGCACACCTTCAGTTTCCATCCATAACGTGCTTGTTTTGCCACTGACACGCTCAGATAATTATTCTTAGTGTCTGACAACATTATGGAAGGATCCCAGCTGAGGTCAAGCTTTTGTTAAAGAGTAAGATCCGTTTTGTTTTAACATGAAACATCCCTGAAATCGCCAAACCCACCAGACTCTATTCAAATTACTGTCATTTTATCGTCATAAAATACCACATTAAAGTCGACAGGAACAAGATAAAACCTTCACCAACCATCTTAGTTGTCTAAGAAAATACGAAATGTACTGAAGTATAAGGGTAGCTGTATTAGGAGTCAAATTACAATGTGATGTCCAATCTCGCATTCATGAGGTATATATAACTTATAGCTCTAATAAAGGCCTATAATTGTCTTATAAGCAATAATTATAGTTTTATTAGGTTTTAATTAACACTTATATTGTTGTTTATAAGCATCCTATAAGGTCTTATAAGTGTCTTATTAACTGTTTATTACTGCCTATTACAAGCACCTTAAATAAAGTGTTACCTACGTCTCATTTACAGAAAATAAAGCAAAAACTTTCACATCCTGTAGAATTTACTGGTAAGGTAGGAAGTGGAACAGAGAGAAGTGAAAATCCAAGCTGCGAGGAGACGGAGAGATTGAGGGAGGAGCTAAGCTGTTAGTGAACTATAGAAGAGAGAGGAACTTCCATATTCAGCAGAGTCAATACACAAAGCAGAAACTTCCCTTTGTTCAACCATGTTGAAGAAAAATGAGGTATGCATGAGGTATAAATGATCAAGACAAATGAAGGAGAGTGATGTTAACTATGTAGATAAATTATTGTTTACATCAATATTCCTTTGAGCTCCAGAATATTTATTGCTGCTGTACTAGTCTGAAGTTTCAGTGGCATCTTTTCTTCTTCTGTGGTCTGATTCTGATTGGCCACTAGATGACACTGTAGCTGCTGTTAATCCAAGCTGAGCCACATTATCAAGTAGGCGGTGCACTACTTCTGCACTGTGTTTCAACCATTCTGTCAATAATAACTGCCTGCTGTGAAGAGAACAATCCTCAGACTGAATGTTGAACATCAGCTAGTTCTCCTGTTGATTTAAACCTTGTTGTAGATGGAACATTGGCTGGGGATTATTCTTGCTGCTCTTTTCGTTGGTAAGATAGAAAGCACAACATCTTTTATTCTTTTCTAAAGATTTATGGAAACAGCTGAGCTGTTTGTGTCCACAGAGTAACACTGTACAGCTGCCATTTTCCACTGTCTTCTCCTCTCAGCCTCATGAACAATGTTAGTCTAATGGCTTCATTTGCTCTACTTTTTCCAGGACTATAGCTGGAGACACATCTCTCCTGTACGAGAGGAAGTCAGTGAAAGAGAAGGACAATCTGTCACACTCTCATGCAACTATCGACAAC